AGTGGGGCAATTTGCCCCAGGCCCTGGGCCTTGCAGGAGCCCCCGGCCCCACGAGGATGTCTCCGGGGCTGAGCTCCTCCCGCTCAGAACCGGCGGGCCAAGCGGCAGGAGCTCAGCAATGCTCCAACCTTTTGTCGGGTGTAAGAAAAACATCAACAGCTACCTTGCAATTATTGGGGGGGAGGGGGGAAGAAAGCTAGAGGGGACAGAGAGGCAGCCTAAAGAGCCAAATCTGCTTGCAAGCTTTCTAATTAAATAGTGTCCACTGGTTACTTGGGAGGTAGGCAGCCGTTGGGAGAAAGTTGTATATTTTTGCAATTTAAAAAAAATATAATTTCCATTATAGGGACAATGTTTTATAATTATTAAAATACTCATGACCAACAATTCTATGTTATGAGGAAAACTGTGGTCTGTGCTTTACTAAAAAATAATAGGGCGCTTTCTTTTTTCTAGCCCGGTGGCTGTTATCCTATACTACAGTCCTGTATTACTAGTGTTTCCATTTCATAAACTAACAACACTATTCAGAATGGGGGGGGGGGAATGTCCCTCCACTCTCCTGCAGCTGCAGCCCTGTTTCACCTACTCAAAAAAAGCTCTAGCAGAACTTGCATCAAAACCTAAACTCTGTGTGAACATGTAGGGTTTTGTTTTGTCCAATGGGCCATTTTAAAACATAAATTATAAGATTATTTTTCTCCTTTGTATCAATCACTGATCTGCTCTTCACCGATCCCTGATAAACATGTAAAAAATGTGTTGTTTGTTTGGTTTTTGGTTTTGTTTTGTTCTGTTTTGTTGTTCGTTGTTGTTGTTAAGTAGGACTCCCAATGATGACTCAATGCATTGCCATTTCTTATGGAGAAAGGTACAAAAAATACTTACTGTGGAACATCCCTTAAATCAGAACCTTTTTATAGGGAACCGGTTGTTAAGATTTTGGCAGCTCATCACTGGGTAGAGGTGTATCATACATATTAGAAATCTATAGATATTTCCCTTTTTTTTTTTTTTTTTAAACAGGATGTTGCAGAGGATATGTAAACAGGATACTAATCATGGAAATTCAAAAACCCAAAATGCAGTCAGATTAAAAATATTAAGTAAGGTGATGTGCGTTATCACAAACCTTTGTGTTAGTTATCTGAAAGTAAATGTATTCCACTGATTTAAGATAAATGGTGAACGATACCATACACCATTAGTTTGAAAAGCAATAAGTAAAATGCAAAAGGAAAATCATTTTTCTAAACAAGAGGCACTAAGGATTAGATGACTTACTGCTGCTTTCAAAGCTTGCTCCAGATCTTCCAGTATATCTTGTGCATCCTCCAAACCAATTGACAGGCGAATCAAAGTATCATTGATCCCAAGAACCTCTCTCTCCTCTTCAGGAACTGAGGCATGAGTCATAATGGCCCTGAACGAAAAGAAAAATAGTCTCTGTGCAGACCCATTAGGGGGTTTATTAAATAACTAATTATCTGCCAGCTCTGTAGGAGTGGTGACTATTTTTTGAATGGCAGTTTTGTGATCGTCTCTACTTAATCTACACATCAAAAGCCCAGATCTTCAGATAGTGAAAACTAGCATAGCTCCAATTAAGTCAATGGGGCATCAACTAGAATAAATCTACATAGCTCCATTGACTTCACTCGTTTGTACTAGCGGAGAATCTGGTACAATATTGCCTGACTATAACTGCTAAAGAAAAACAGTGGATACTTTGGACACTCTAGCTCCAAGTTTTCATCTGGAAATGGAAGCAACATCCTATACTACTTTCCTTCAACCTTTTTATTGTATTTGTCTAAACATGTGATATCTAAAAGTTTTCCTGCTGGAACTGGATATCTGTGTTTAAAGACCATGGTTTGAAGGTAAATTCAAAGAAACTGAGGTTATGCAAGTAAGGAAGGTAGAAGAACCAAGTGAAGTTTCAGGTGAAAGCTGAATCAGAAAGAATTTGTGTACTTGGAAACATAGGTGGCGAGTTATAGGGGACCATGTGCCCATGCTCCACCAATGTTTGGGCTTATATCTTCAGAGCTGTCCTGTCCATAGGATGGACCAGGGCAACTGCCTCGGGCCCCGCACTTTGTGGGACGCCGTGCTTCAGGGGGAAGCAGGGTCCAGGGTGGCCTGGGTGGTTTGCAGGGGGCCTGGTGCCGGCAGCAGCAAGTGCCCCTGCCCCTGCCCCACCCCCACTCCAACCCTTCCCCCAGTCCCCACCCTTGCCCCAACTCTTCCTATCCCTGCTCCGCCCCGCCTCTTCCTGCCCCTTTCCCCAAACCTCCGCCCCACCTCTTTCCAGCTTCCGCCCCCTCCCCCAAGTGACACCAGGAGCCGGAGGGGCAGGGCGGGCTGGGGCCGGGTCGCTCACTGCTGCTGGCACCAGGCCCCCCACTAACCTCCCTGGCCACCCTGAACCCTGCATCCCCCTGAAGCATGGGACACCCAAAAGGGTGGGGCCCAGGCGATTGCCTTGGCCCATCCTATGGATGAGATGGCTCTGCTTGGACCCATTCTGGGCACCACCAAAAATTATACAAACCTGGAGCCCATGCTTGGAAAGTATACTTAGTGCCACTGGAGAGAGATTTGGAGAACTGACAATAAGAACCCAATGTTCATGGGTGGCAGTGAAAAACGTGGTAGGAGTATTGAGACCAGCAATTAAGTTACAAACTGAAAGAAAAAGTATATGCTGCATGTGTCTGTCCCTGCCTGATCTATGATTTGGAAATTGTGGATCTTACAGAGAAGGAAGAAAAGAAGGTACAAGTAGTAGAAAATGCTATACTGGGGAGAATGGAAGGCTAGAGGAGGGTAGATAGAGTGAGCATGGAAGAAATTAGGAGGAAGATGAACTTGGGCCTTTCAATGACAGGTTGGAGAGTACAAGTTTGAGGCGAGCTGGACATATGGATAAGAATGGGAGAAGAATGACCAGCAAAGAGAGAATGGCAGGAACTGGACAGCAAGAAAGGAGGTGGAAAATCAAGGATATGATGGAAAGACTGTTGTGACACACTGCTAGACAGGATTAAGAATCCTGCAGGATAATGACCCAAATTCAACCTTTAGGGCCATATTGGTAGATAATGTTTGTATTTTCGTGTTTTTATTTATTTTTATTTATATATTTTGTTAGAGGTTAATGTAACCAAACAGTTCCTGTCTATGCTGTAATCTATTAATTCAGAGATCAAAATGAGAGCTTAACAGTTACATGTACTGTAAATATAGATTCTAGGACTGGAAGGGACCTCGAGAGGTCATTGAGTCCAGTCCCCTGCCCACATGGCAGGACCAAATACTGTCTAGACCATCCCTGATAGACATTTATCTAACCTACTCTTAAATATCTCCAGAGATGGAGATTCCACAACCTCCCTAGGCAGTTTATTCCAGTGTTTAACCACCCTGACAGTTAGGAACTTTTTCCTAATGTCCAACCTAGACCTCCCTTGCTGCAGTTTAAGCCCATTGCTTCTTGCTCTATCCTTAGAAGCTAAGGTGAACAAGTTTTCTCCCTCCTCCTTATGACACCCTTTTAGATACCTGAAAACTGCTATCATGTCCCCTCTCAGTCTTCTCTTTTTCCAAACTAAACAAGCCCAATTCTTTCAGCCTTCCTTCATAGGTCATGTTCTCAAGACCTTTAATCATTCTTGTTGCTCTTTTCTAGACCCTTTCCAATTTCTCCACATCTTTCTTGAAATGCGGTGCCCAGAACTGGACACAATACTCCAGCTGAGGCCTAAGCAGAGTAGAGCGGAAGAATGACTTCTCATGTCTTGCTCACAACACACCTGTTAATACAACCCAGAATCATGTTTGCTTTTTTTTTTTGCAACAGCATCACACTGTTGACTCATATTTAGCTTGTGGTCCACTATAACCCCTAGATCCCTTTCTGCCGTACTCCTTCCTAGACAGTCTTTTCCCATTCTGTATGTGTGAAACTGATTTTTC